TATCTAATAGTATTAAGCGCCTTGAAGCTCAAATTTTTCTGCCTTAAATAACATTCAGCATCTGGCACAAAACAATTAAAAAAAAAACAGTCTTTAAATATATTCTCAGCTACCCAAGCTCTTGGATTTGCTTTCCAATATACCTGTAAGGTGTTTTTATTTATACCTTTAAAGGCACGAGGATTTAAAGATCTATAAACTAACAAGGGTTTTGTCATAAAGTCCAAAGTTATACTGCACAAAAGTGGCATTAGACAATTTTTAAACACTTTAAATCAGAATGCAGTTTTTTTTTTTTTTTTTTTGTTTTGTTTTTCGATATAAAAGTTCTACCGGACATTTTTTTCCATCAAAGCCCAGTTTTGTCAACATCGAAAACTTGAACTGCTGTGTATGTTTGTTCTTGTATAATACTTTGAAATTTTTCAGGAAATATCCTAGCAGCTTCATAATCAGCCGATGCAGATTCTCCTTACGATATGAATTCCAAAATGCTTTTTGAAATTTTCAAACCAACCCTTACTTACCAGAAAATCTAGGTTGAAAAAGTTTTTTCCATGTTCTTTGAGGTGCCTGAAAATTTTGAGTGCTTTTTGTTCAATGATTTTACCATCCAATGAAATTCTTTTTCGACAGCTATCATCAAACCAACAGCTGAATGCCTTTTTCATCTTCTCAATTACTGTGGCCCGGGGGGGGGGAGGCGAACTGCACGTTTTACAGATGTCGAAGATCCTGCAGCAATTGCATTTCTTATTTCTCTTAATAATCGGGACTGTTGCTTCATTCCAATTAAAACTTTTTTCCAACGTGAGATGCCTTTTCTCCTTTTAAAAGATGGTCCAAGATCTGTATCTGTACTTCTAAAGAAATGAATTTCCTCTTAAACATTGTTTTTTTTATCCTTATCGGACATGTTTGGGGACTGAAACGTAATGTCTTAAAGATGAAAAAGGTATTCTTTAACCCTTTGACGCGCTGTGGTCGCGCCCTGAAACCAACATTTTCCAAATTTTTTTTCTCCTCTTTTTCCGAAATTTTTGAGTAAAAATGAATTGATTACTGATCTTCTACATCTAAATAACACAAAATGATTGTAGAATCATATATGTTTTAGGTATTAATACTTCAGATCGGATGCCTTTTAAAATTCGTTTCTGATGAGACAAAATAACTTCCTTTTATTAATATAAACAACTTTAAATTTCAAAAGTTAGTCATCGCACATCATGATTTCTATCATAAACAATAAAAAATTGCAGTAATTAAACTGCATATATAAAAAAAAATTCTATATGTATGGCATTTGCTATGTGGTTTCAGGGCACGACCACAGCGCCACTAGAGCATTGTGTCACAATGCTTACAATCCTCTAAAAGCTCGGTGGTCGCGCCTTGAAACCACTGGCATTTGCTTCTCAATGGCGTTCGCTTGCTTTTCAAATAGGAATGTTTATTTTTACCCGAATATAGATAAAGGGCTTTGAAACCACAGAGTTATTTTATAACTAAACAATATATGCACCTGCCCAGTAAAAAGGTCTTTCTTTTCCAAATACTTTTCTATGACATCAACACACTTGCTCCCCAAGCTAGTATTGTGATTTTATAAATTATTTCCTGTGGTTTAAATTTATTGTAAATATACTTTGCTATAATTAAAAATAGAAATTGCATAAAAGTTTTATTTAAATTAAAAATATTTTCTGAATATTTTGGGATGAAATACGAATAAAATAAGTATGAATGGGAAACGAACGATCCATACAAAGCCCAAAAGACCAAGCCCCCCCCCATTAACATAAAAAACCACAAATTTCATGTGCCAGATGAAAAGAAACTAAATAACGCTAGACATATACCAGTGAAATTTAAATCCAAGCAGTGTACATTTTGTAGAACAAGGAAGAAACCTCATAGAACAAGATGTATGTGCGAAACGTGCAATGTGGGTCTATGCATGTACCAAAGAGACAAAACATGCTTTGAACAGTGTCACAAAAAACATTTGTTCCTTGAAATAAAAGAAAAAACAATAATAAAAAAAACACTGAGTTCTTTTTTATCTTTATTTTATTGAGTATTTTAATCCATTTATCCAAATGTCCTTATTATGTAGGCACTTATATTTTCACTGCTATAGAAAAATTACATAAATGTTTATTTTTTAATTTTTTCTGACGATTTACTCTGTAAAATAATGTAAAAAAATTATATATCATGCAATTCTTACAGATATTTTTTTAAAATCCATAAATTTCATCATTTATTGGAAATGCGTGCGGGAAATGGTAAGTTTTTTTTTTCCTACTGCATCAGTAAGTTTCAAAGTCCTAGACGTACAGTGGTTTCACAGTGCGACCACCACCCACAAAACAATGGGCAAGAGTAGATTTTTTTAAATTCATATATTATTTGTCTCTAGGATCATAATATTCAATTTCTAGAGTTTTTAGTTAAAAAAATTATAAAAATAATATCGCGTGCGTCAAAGGGTTAACACACCATGGCTCAACGCAGAACTGCTGACCAGAAGCACTGGACACTTGTTTTCAGGCAATGGAGACGAGGATTCGAATTTTGGAAGCCAAATGTGCAGATTGTACACTTTAGAGCACTTATTGTGACCTCATGCTGTTTACTTTCTGCGTTAGTGAGGTTTCTTCATTGTTATCTGGGGACATCTTGTTCATCTGAGGACATTTGTTCGTACAGGTAGCAGATTTTGGAAGACAACTGGCAGAACTTACGAAACAAGGATTATTATGTGTTAAATGACTATATGGGCGCTTTGCACAATATGGAAAATCTTCGTGCAGAGTTCATTAAATTTCTTCGACTGCTTTTGCAATTTTCTTATTGTGTTAGAGCGAAACCTTGTTATAGAAAAACCACGTTGTAGGAGGGTTCTCGCAATTTATGAATTGTATTATAGCGAAACCGTGTTACAGGATGCCGTATTATGGAAGGGCTACCTGTACATATAACTATGTATGTAAATAATTGTAAAGTTTATTTATTCCTTACTACAACTTGACACTTGAAGCCATTTCGATTCTGATAAAGTTTATAGCCTTGGAGAGAAATTATCTTAATTCATGGATTGTAGATGCTCATCGATCAATTGGATTTGTTGCTTATTAATTTTCAACTGTGAAAAAACGCTGCTCACACATAAATGTATCAACAAGCAGAGCGATTATTCTTAATACAAAAATTTGGAAGTGAATTTATTTATTTTTTTAAAAGTATGAACAAATGTATCTTCAAAACTTTGAATAAGATATATATCACATTGTACATTAGATAGCTCCAATAAAGATCTTCAAAACTTTGAATAAGATATATATCACATTGTACATTAGATAGCTCCAATAAAGATTTTCTGATGCACTATCTATCTTAGTTTTAAATGGTAATAAAAATAATGTAAACTCAGACTTCAAACATTAAAATCTTGAAATCTTTGTAACACGGTATTTGCAATTATTTATAACTGAAATGTCTCCATGAGTTGAATACAATTGATTTAGGGGCCACATGTCGCCTGCGGGATGGCAGTTTGAAACCACTGACCTAAACTATTTAGCAAACACTTCATATATAAGTACATTATGCTTTGCAAATTATGATGCATAAAGTCTAATGAACTAATAAAGTTGTAAATAAGAATTAAGTTTCTAATTATGATGTACTTGATAATTCATACACTTTCCAATATGAGAACATTTGATATATGTTTGCCTATGCACGATCATAAGCTATGCAACCATATTATCTACTTTTTCTTTTTATAGTTACTTTTTTTAGATAAAAGCTGAAGATGGCAAAGAAGATAATAATTTTTATACATAATTTTATTTTGTCTTTCATGAAATCAAATAGTCAAGATACGATCAACACTTGTAGCTTTGCTTTTGAGTGCAAAATAAAAAGAAGCTAATTATAAAACAACTCTTGAGCAAGTAGGGAATAAGAAAATATTTACATTCTCTTCCATTATGAATTCTATTCAAAGTATATACAAAATCAGAACACAAAAGAGAAAGAACACACCTAACAGACACATCTAACAGACAAAGCATTGTCACATTTTAACACACCTAACAGACAAAGCATTGTCTCTTCCCTACATCCTTACAATGTTCACTGAATATATAATGTGGCATGATGGCAAGTGGCTAAGAATCGAAAAAACATTTCCAAGTTTAAATACTTAGAAGAATAAAATTTTAATAATTTGATAATAATTTAATAATAATTTGATAAAACCCTTCAAACTAGATGTGTTCAAAACTGAACTTCTTTAGAGTTATGGATTCAATACAAGACTATAATACAAATCGAATTGCCAAGAACAAGCAAATAGTTTATATAAGGAATAGAATCTTAGGAATTATATGATATTAACTAAGATTTTTACTCTTCATCCATTTGAAAATGTCATCATTTATCATGCAAATGAAAATATATTTTAATGAAAATATTAATTTAATTTGAAAATGTCATCATTTATCAGGCAAATGAATATATATTTTAGCATGTTGGCTGTCAACTTGCGAGATATTACGATATATAAGATAACTATAAGATAACTTGCAGTGCTCTTATTTATCATATTAACATATACTTAATTAACACATGGTTAGTTTCTGTGAAAAACTCTGATACAGACACCATGTTCAAGATAATTGGTGAAACCAATTATTAAAAAAAATCTTTTGTATATATTTGGCAGTTACTTTATATTATAACTGGATTAAAACAAATTAGTTCTCAGATCGGAACCCGAAATCTGCCATAGCAGTCAATATGTTAACAATAATGATCACTGAAATCAAACCAAGTAGATGTTTAGTTTATACAAGTGGTGATTCTACAGCAAAAAATTTAAAATGGGAAAATATAACCATACATGAAAGTCAAATTTTTAAGTCAATCAGAGAACACAAAATAACATTAAGCAGTTAATCAATAAATAGACAAGACAAATAAAATACCTATTAATGCGTCTAGCCATCTTGGATATTCTCAGCTCAAATTTATCAGCATTATCACAAAGATCCCAACCAATCTCCTTCTCCACTTCTGATTTATCATAAGGATGTTCTTCATCTAAATCTTTAAGACATCAAAAAAAGACTGTGACTGATATAAATACTTAATTTATGCAACTGGAAATTACAAAACTAACTTAATGTAAAGAACTCATATATAAATAATAATAATATATTTCATCATTTTTAGATATAAATTCTGAAATCTGGATGCCAATAACTGAAATGATTTACGACTAGAAACCAGCTTCCCCCAACTCAAAAAAAAATTTTTTTTTTCCTCATAAGGTGCGATCATGGAGAATATAATACTTAAAAAAAAAAAAAAAAAAAAAAAAAAAAAAAAAAAAAAAAACAGATATCCTATAAAATGAATTTTTCTCCCAAACAGCTGAGATTCTAGCATGGTGCCATCAAATATCTGCTAGCTAATTAAGCTAGCTGTGAGCTAATTAAGCATCTGCTAGCTGTGAGCACAATATGGTCAACAGAAATATATTGGCTAACTGGCCAAAAGCACAGTTAGTTGATGGTTAAGGGACATTTTTCTATCTCAGCTTCTACAGTATACAATAAATGAAGTCCTAAGATATGCTTGTTTGAAATGCACTGTTGTTCTTGCTCTTTTTTTTTTTTTTTTTTTTTTTTTTTTTTTGCTGACAGAGGAGGAGGAAAGAATTAAGAAGATTCCAGTGAATTTGAATTCAATTAATATAGTCAACTCTGCTTAATTTGATCAGCTTATTATTTTCTGCAGCTTATTACAGCTACTTAATCAAACTTAAAGTTTTAATTTTTTATCAAGTCAAAAGGACTTTCTTATCTTTCTTCTTAAAATTAATTTAATTAACAGTTTTCACACACATGAAATCATCAGCTTAAATTAACTAATCATAAATTTCTTATTTTTCTCATATTAGAGTTTTTGATTAAATCAAAAAGAATTTCTAATTCTGGAGCTACAGTAAGATCTGCAAAGCAGAAACATGTTTTGATGGCAATCAAGCAAAAAGTGGAATTGCAGCAAAAAAAAAAAAAAAAAAAAAAAAAAAAAAAAAAAAAAAACAGATAAAGGATATCCCAAGCAAAACTATGTGAAGAATATGACATTGGAAACTCAATAATAATAATAATATATATATAATATCAGAAAAAGAAAATTTTGGAATTTTTGTTTATTAAGGTATCAAAAAAAAAAAAAAAAAAAAAAAAAAAAAAAAACTGACATAAATACTTAATATATGCAACTGAAAATTACAAAACTAACTTAATGTTTCAATTCATAAATAAAAAAATTAATATATTTCATCATCTCTAGATGTAAAATCAGAATTTTGGATACCAATAACTGGAATGATTTAAGACTAGAAACCAGCCCCAGCCCCCAAAGTTAGTTCATTCACAATGAAGAGAAAAAAAAAATCATTTGTCACTGTAAAAGTGATAATCATGACAAGTAGGTAAAAATAAATTTTAAAACAACTAACAGTTAAAAATCTCGGATGAAAAAGCCACAGTTGATGCAAGTCATTTAACAATTTGCAGATGAATTCATCAAATTCAATAGCAATGAAAAGACATTTCCAGAAAGAAATTTACAGTGCTGACATAACTGGTCTTTTTTGGTAGCATGTGTCTTAAAATATCTTGACAACCTCTGGAGAAAAGGCCTCAAATGATGTCAAAGATTGCAAAGCGGGACTTAAAATTCTGGCATGTGCAAATGCTCCTAGAATGCACAAAAGTAAATTTTTCATAATGGAAAAAAAAATAATAATAATTACGACCTTGAACATTAAAAAGAGAACAGTTTTTTCCTCACTTATGAAACAAACTTTTGTGAATGATTAGTCTGAAAATCATTTCATATCCAAGGCTCAACAATATTTGAAATCTTTAGCAGATGATTAAAAAATTGTTCTGATTTCAGACAACAGTATTTATTTAAAATATCTTAAAATTTTAAGTGTACCAAAAAGCAGATATTAAATAACCTTTTTGAAATAAATGTTAAATTTTCTGAACAGAAGTAAGACCATTTAAGAATTTAAGATGCTTCACATTTTACAATAGGAATACAAACACTAATATCAATTATGGTTCATTTTCAAGTGTTTGTAAATATTATGTTCATCAACCTTCCTATTTCATATAATAATAATAAATTAAACTGACGGTAATATTGAAATAATATTCCATAATCTTCTGATGTAATTTAAAAATTATTAGAAGTTCATTTGAAACACACTTAAAGTCAAACAGTATTAGGCAACAGTGAAAATATCACACTATAAAATTTTAACAGATCAGATTGTACTCAAAAGCTCACAAAACTAATCTAATTATGCCAATTGTATATAAAAAGAATAAATTAAATTTTATAATTTAGCATCTGCATTCTGTCATTAGTGGCTAATTAACTGGACCATGGTTATTTAACCAACTTTAGTATTTAAACTTAACTTTGTTAAGATTCTATAAAACTTCAAAGTGAAATTTTTTAAAACTTTTTTTATATAATACAAAGGAATCATAAAAATAAAAGAATGCTCTAGTAATTATTTTATAATTAATTGCACATACATAACAAATAATTTGCACAATGTGCCTTGAAATTTAGGATACAGAAAAACTACAGTGCAATAACTGTGTGAAGAATATTATAGAAATATATTAACACCATTCTTAATATTTCAAATTGAAATTCCCCAAAACTGTATTATTTCTATTTGTTTCTGTTATTCAAATCCTAAAAGTACAGAGGGCATTTTCACATATTTAGAATGATTTCAGGACCCTTTAAGTAATGTTCAAAATGTAAAGTGTATTTCTTTAAATGTTCTACCTAATAGCCTTTTTCTGGACTATAAATCTGTATTTCCATGACAGAAGGGCTTTTCATAAAATTCCCAGGGATAATAATTTTCATTCTTCTTCCATTACTTTCCAGAATCCAACAACCATGGTAGGTATGCACTTAGAAAGAGCTCTTTTTAAGAGATCAGAGGCACAATAACCCAGAAGTGAAACATCATGGGACTTTGCAGAAATACATGGAAGGGTTTATCTGTATCAGTCTTCATTTTTTCAAGGAATGTAGTGGTCTTTGATGATGTAGGACTTGTTGCTCTGTCCTGATGAAGTTTCATTCTTTGAAAATCATTGGGATAAAATAATGGAATTTCTTTTATAAATACCCTATGTAAGCCTTTCTCCTGATAGACCATTGAGTTGATTTAAATTACCCCTCCCCACGCTTCTTATTTTTAATTTCCCATTTTAAGAGAATCCTGTGACAAGCATTAACCCTTACTGAAACTTTCTTTGCATTTACGGATAGAGGTTTGTACATTGTTCTTTTCATTTTCAATAATAAATATAAATTTTTTTCCCTCTTCCCCCTCCCAGTCATTTAGATAAACCCATGATTCATCAAGGGTCACAACATATCTTCATTTATCTCCTATATAGTTTTTGTACAGAGTTCTACAAATTGTTCTGCAATATGCCACATACCTCAGCAAAAGCTGATGATCATTAATTATGCTTTTAACTTTTTTTAGGTCATAAATCTTGGTTTGTTACAGATTTTTGATATAGATATATTTAAAGACATTGCTATTGATTTCTGCATCCATGTATTTTCTCTCTTACTAACAATTTAACTTTGGAAACATTAGACACAGAATGTACCTTTTCGGGTATTCATTTGCAATCTTCTTTCCATCTAGAAATAATGATTGAATTTCTTTTCCCCTTTCTGATTGATAATGATGCTTTTGCACTTAGAAATTTTAATATCATAAATTTGTGAATTATGGAATAGGAATATTTCTCTTCGGAAAGTGCTAAAACTGTCCTCAAATGCACAGCTTGTTTACACGGAAGATTTTGAAAGAAGAATAAATTTATTGTATCAGATGATATTTCTTAATTCAAATAATGAAATATTGCCAGAAATTTTTATTCTAAAACATTTTTTTTTTTTTTTAAATTTTTCTAAGAATCACCAAAATTATTCTAAGAATGTGTAAACGTCCTTTGTAACAATTAAGATATCAGTGGTAAAATAGTGCTTGACTTAGATTGCCAAAAACTTAGCTAACTCTAGATGTGTAGATTAGACTGATAAGGAAATAGACAAAGAGGAGGAAGATTTTTCTCAAAATAAGTACTAGATAATAAAGGTACGAACCTTGAAAACTCATAACTGAAGAGAAGCATCTAAATTGTGGACAAACCTTGAAATTATCCTACATACATAATAATTTCATCGCTCATTAAAACAATAATTCTGATAGAAAATAAAGCTTTGGGCCTAAATTAATGCAATGAAATAATTGTATGCTATTAAATTTGGAAATCATCATTACATAATAATAAATAATACTTTTATAAATAATCAATTCAAACTAATTTGCTAATTTTTACACCACATTTATGTGAACAAGTATATTGTGCCATGAAATTTAATAATAATGCCTTCCTTTTTTAACTTCAATATTCAAGGATTAATAACTCTTATGACCCCAAAGTAGAATGTTACAGAAGATTTGTACACCACTGAAGTAAGAACATAATAATTTTCTAATAAAATATACCTGGGGTTAAAAAATAAATATTATAACTCTAGAGTTCATTATCATATTAAAATGTGTTATAAGGGTAATAAATCAATGTAAATTTCTTAAAATAAAAATATAATATTATGCAGAATAAATAAATAAATTTTTAATTACCTTCCGTAAAAATTTCAGATGCTTTAGAGACAGATTTCAGTTTCAGGAAAAATTTATGGTGAGCCATAGACATATTGAACAAATACTGACTCCTAAATTGATAAAATATTATTTACTCACAAACGCAATAAAAAAATCCTTTTATGCTTATAATATTATAAATTATTCTCACCTATGCAATAGTGAAGTATAAAACCTATAGACAATATGTCTGCCTGTAATACTTTCAGTTTTAGGTGCTATGCAAAAGTACTTTTTTGAAAAAGAGATTCTTTTTATAATTTCCCAAGGATAATTCTGGCACAAACTTCTTTTACCAGATATGTTTTCATAAACAGCAATGCCTTTCGATCTGATGCTCAACCATACTACAGATGATCTGTTCTTTTTATCCTGAAAAAAAAAAGTGCTTATGTGTATTAAAAAAGTGTTTACATAAATAAGAAAAAAGTAAAAATAAATCAAAATGTCTACAGTTGCCAAAATGAAGCCACACTGGTTTAAGATAAAGAATTTCATACATTGTACAAATTAAACAAAAATGAAACACTGACATAGGTCAAGATCAACATAGAATATACAAAATGAATAAAAAATTTAATATAAATAATATATGTAAAATAAAATTACTTAAAAAAATTAGCTTGTAAAAAAGCCAATAACGAAAGTCTACACACCATCAGCAATAATAATAATCTGTCATTATGAAATGCTCTTTTTTGACAACATGTGCCCCCTAAATACTTTGGGGATCTCTGAAGAGAAGGCCTCAAATGGTGTCAAAGATTTCAAAACAATTTTAATTAACAAGTTTCAAGTATCCAAAACAAATGGACATGGCAGAAAATATATTACATAATATTAGTTCAACATCAGTTATTATTTATAAAACTGAATTTCCTAAAATATTGTATTATTGCTATTTGCTGTTATTGTAGTCCTAAAAATAACAATTAAGATATCAGTGGTATTTTCAATATATTATAAAGGGAAGATAAACTAATAAAAATCCAATTATAAATTAAAATATCAAATTAACAGGTTTGTCGAAAATTGCCTCAACAACAACAACAACAACAAAAAAAAAAAGAATACAGTGCAGTTAAAAAAATAAATAAACATTTGACATCAGCTGTAATTCTTTTAGTATTGTCGGTGATTTGGTCTAGATACACTGTGCTTTTGTAGCTATGTTTGTTTTTGTGTTCATCATAGGAATTGTGAAAATAAAAGTGTTTTCAACAAAAATTAGTCTTCAAGCACTGTTTGATGATTTTCTACCTATTAAGCTCTTTCTGGAATACCAATCCTTTGGAAAGCAAATGGGAGGTAAGTGAAACCTTTTTTCTAAATTTTGAGCTTTAGAATTTTAAACTTTAGGAATTTTCTAACTTTTTAAAATAAAAATTTAGTTATAATTTTTTTAAAGTTTTTTTAAGTTTGCATAAAAATTAAGCATCATAAAAATCTGAATAAAAATGCATTTAAAATGATGGTTAAGAAATGAGAAACAAATGAAAATAGACTAAGTAATAATGCCATAATGATACCATTTGTGAATGATTAAGTATGTAAATATATGCACATACAAATTAATATAGTTCATACTTTTCTTACTACAAATAACTCTTATGTTTAATTAATAACAGACACATGTTTTAGTATAAAAAACCTCCCCCCCCCCCAAAAAAAGTAAAATTTCGAAATGTGAAATTTACATAAAAAAGTGGGCAGAAAATTAATACAAATTTTTAGTTAGTTACCTGTAAAACTTTATGATAATGTGAACCATAGTCAGAAAATTTCATCATAGCCTAGAATTTAAAAACAAGAAACAAGTTTTAAAATCATCTTGACTAGCATGTAAATTATAAATTTCAATATAAATTTAAAAAAAAACGAAATGAAATAAAATGAGTGGATAGTTTTTTTTTTTTTTTTTTTTTTAAGCATGCTCCCACTATTTTCATAAATTCTATACTTTATTTTAAGGAGCTCTGTATCTTTAAATACATGTTCGGGGTTAATAACTATAAAAATAGTTTGTAGTAACTTTTAATACCTTAAACAATACTAATAATGAGGCACTCAAACATTACCTCAACAAACAGAATGATTAATAAAATGAAATGTTTACAAACTTGCAAAGCATGTCATTATTTGGAAATCTCTCAGCACTGTAATGTGTCTTTGTTATTCCACCCCTTCTTTAAAGATTTCATTTTCAAACTGCTATGAAGATAAGAGGGGACTAAATTCACACTATAATGGGATGTAGCAGGGCATTGTACTATATTCCAACATGCCTATAAGAGACAAACATTTTTTGCTGTATTGTTAGCAAAGCCCAATCAAAATTTAGGAGCTTCAGTTGACTTTTCCCTCTAAAAGTTTTTAAAAAAATCCTGTTTCATGGACTGTGACCTTCTCATAGGTACCACAAAATTGACAAGACCAAAATCACAATCTATTACAGGTAGAATGGAATAGCTAAATTATTTATTATGCTGCAAGTAGCAAAACCAGTAGCCAAGTTAATACATGACTGACTGAATATTTTTCAATGTGCTTTCAAATTGCATATTTAATTTTACAGAACTTAATTTCATACCTGTAATCAAAATATTAAGATCATTTTAAACATACAATAAATAAATAATAAGTAGTATTAAAAATCAGAAGTAATCTTTTTATATAAATACTTATAATGTAATGAAAAACTTTCCTTTTAAATAATTTGTCATCATAAATATATTTGTTTCTTTTTTAAATATATTTGCCAAATATAAATAGCAATATCTGCAGGGTATTTCAAAAAGTGACACACAACTCTACATGGAAACAAAGAATCGCTTAAAAGATCTGTAATAATTGAGTGAGTACCATACTATAGTGAAAGATTAATTAATCTTTTGATTATGTAGTGAAATGGAAAGTTTTTTTTTTTTTTTTTTTTTTTTTTTTTTTTTTTATGCCACCATTTTAAAACAGTAACTTCTAAAGGTGGAAATGTTTTGATTTAAAATCTCATTATATTTTTTCTAGTACGGCTTTGGACATACTGAGTGTATTTACTGTGACTGCTAGCTAATGTTGATGAGATGCACACCACGATTGCTGCTTTCATTATTGTGCTAATGGGAAATATATACCTAGAGTTGAAAGAACTGGATTTTTGATAGCATGGCTGCAAAATTATTGATAAGAGACATGTGAACTTAATTGTGAACCTTGTCCTGAAATTTGTTACTTATATTTGAACATTAATAAAAGTCTTGCATCTATTGCTATTTATTTGCTAGTGTCACAAAAAGTTGTATACCTACTTCGAAAATTTTACATTTGGAAATATCCCCTATAAGAAAATAAATGCAATAAACTGTCTTATGAAAGAATGCTCAAACCTCATGAGGATGTACCTCTCTAGTTAATATAAGCCATAAGAAACATATTTATATTGAATAAAGAATCTGTGAAATTTTGAGCAATAGGCAATGGTTTAAAATATGAATTATGAATGCTACAGAAAATAGCATTGAAGAATATACTTTACAAATATGCTTTACTAACTTGAATAAATTTTAATTCAGCCAATTCCTTCGAGATCCCAGCTAAATTAATATGTTGATCCCGTAGTCTGGTCTTTGCAGTGAGTCTATTCAAACATAAAATGTTTGAAAAAGATAGATAATGTTCTAAAAGGAAATATTCTTTGCCATGCACTGATTGATCATAATTTCCAAATTCTGCCTGAAGAGCTAATCCACCGAGCATTATCGCTGAATCAATGTCACAGTAAAAGTCATCTTCCAAAAAATCCTTTCTCAGCTGAAGATAAAAAATATGCCTCAACGCTTGAGTTCTAAAAATAAAATCATGTAAAAGGTACTCATTTAAATATTTTTTAAAAACAAATGTCACAGGAAAAAAGTACAGACAATTATAAACTTCTAATTATTACAATTATAAACTCCAAATTCTTACAAAAAGTTTAATGAAGGAAATTAGCATGCCAGTAGTTAACAAGCATAGCATATGAAACAAAAAATATATGTTTATTATTAAAAATTTACTGAATACAGTATCAAGTTGCCTATTTGGTGTGAATTAGCCTGAAGACTTTTGAGTACGGGAATGAAAAATTTTAGAAGGCAATATCAAATAGGAAAAGATAATAATAAGGATTAAGAAAAACAAAGATTCAATATTAAAAAATCTGATGTGTACACCACATGACTTCCTTGTGTGAAATATTAAATTATACGCATTTTTTTTTTTTCATTTCATTTAAACATATTGGATTTAATTAAATGTACTTTGTCAATAGCGCATAAACCACAATAGAATAAATGCACTCTTTAAAATGCACTATATTTGTTTAACGTAGTGACACTCTAGCCCTAGGTTCACTTAACAGCATTACGTTTCATTCATTTTAAAACTCAGAATATATAAAATTTATATCATCTTAAGAATTATCTAATCATTGCCACATGTTCTATTTAAATACTATAATAAATCTAAAATGATGTATAAAAGAAATTAAGCAAACAAGATAAAAAAAAAAAAAAAAAAAAAAAAAAAAAAAAAAAAAAAAAGAAGAAAGAAAGAAAGAAAGAAACTTTTCACAGATGATTCACTATTTCACATTCAATTAATTCAGTTTTTACTTCACGACAAGGCAAAAATACATAAAATCTCAAAATATCTGTATTGAAAATTATGAAGTAAATCTTAAACACTTAGTTCCTCGGATAAATTCCAGAATGGATTAAACATGATTTAATTCGCAATAATAAGAGAAGGCGTTATCTTTGTCATTGCAAAGCTTACTTTCTGTAGGTTGGCAACAAATCTACTATTCTGTTGTTTCAAATGTAAGCAAACATGGCCACCACGGCAAAAATAATTAGGCTTAGCAGTACTTAACTCTGAAAGTGTTGATAATTCTAAAATTGCAAAGCTTACTTTAAATAATTACGAGTTTATTTAAATTTTAAGTCTTATTCTAATTAATAATATTCTAAGTAAGATTTGATATTATCCTGAAATGTGTAGTGATAATCATAAAATTTGAGAATACAAAATTTTTATTTAAGTTTATTATTCTATGAAGTGTTGATAATACTCTAAAGAGTTTTTGGTTTTAAAAAAATATTTTAACTATTATAAAAATATTTTGATAAAGTGCACATTTTTATTCTCAGAAAGTTTTAAGTTTCAGTTACAATGTCGAACAAATAGGAAACCCGTTAATCTTGACGATTCATGAACGTGAATCAAGATACAATCGATTTAATATTATTCCATTTGAAGATTCTAAGGACAGTGACAATTCTTGGTTAGGTTATTTAACAAAGTCTGCCAAAATAAGGACGAAAATTGGAAACTTCAAATATTCTCATTACCTTAGGGAAAGCCCTGGCTCTATATAAAAATGTCATGAGCTAAAAACTACTCAGAACTTGAACAAATATTAAAGAAAATTTATCCGATCCCACCTTAACTACTTTCGGCGACTTCGCTATAAAATATAACGCGAGAGAAGCCATCACCAATTACTTCGAAAGAAAATTGAAGTGGGTAAGCGGCTTTTTGGATAAATGAGTTATTGTAGATGGTTTGACAGATGGTTTGCCAACGAACTTAAAGTCTTTGATGATTGTTCAAAGTCCTGCTGATTGATAACTTGGCTAGAACACCCCACAAACTTCGACAAATTCATGAATTAAAGATGAAACTTCACAAAATTATAACAGAGATAGGAATAGTCACAAATTCAGACAGCTAATTTTCGAAATAATAATCGTTGTTGATACGACCCAATGCATCTAATTACAACCTCATAGTTTTCAACAAAATTGGAAATATATCTAACAGCAATATCAACAACGGAAAGAAAGTTGTAAGTCACCATACTAAATAGCAATTTGATGGATAGCCCCATCACCTTGTAGCTATGTACCAAGAAAGGGATACCAAATTGTTATCACTGGGCACAATCTGCCCATTTCGAAGTGAGAACAACAAAACTGAAACTAATTCTGTGGGAAAACAAAATTCGGGGTCTGATTCTTCGGGAATTTGACAACTAAGAATTAAGGGATTTTATCCATGGTAGATCAGTCGACTGTGTCGTGGACACTGGCACGACATTGTCAATCATCTCAGAAAAATCTGCAAACAATTTACAGTTAAAAATCAAAAGGTAAGGTATTAAAATTAAAGCAAACTAAAGGAAATTTTTCTATTGATAAAATGTGTAGATTATAAATGAAAACTGGAAATATTATTTAAACTAATTAACTTGTTAGTGGAGCATATTTAGATTATGTTTGTTAGGTTTAAATGATGTAAATTATTTGAATTTAAAAATTGATTGTAGTAATTTAGTGGTAAACTCAGAAATGAAACCCATTTCAAATTGTGAAGTAAATACAAGAGTTTCTTGCATGTACAACTTGATAAGTACTTGAAAAAAAAAGTAATGTAATGCCATCAGTTAGACAAAACCTAGAAGTAATCTCTGAGGAAATAATTGTGTGAAAATATATCTAATGAAAATCGTGTCTAAGGTTTCCGTTAATGAAGGTAAAAGTCTAAATTTATGAAGTTTAATGATGATAGAAGTCTAAGGTAACAACGAGTTAATATAAATAATGAAAGTAATGTAAAACTAAAAAGTAAAAAAGTGACGTGAAAAACAAAGTAGTGAAATACAACAGATTCAGAGAGTATGGAGGAAGAAAACCCTGATTAATAAATTGTTAAATAAATATAAGAATGCGTTTCCAAAAATAAATATGACGTAGGTAAAATTAACATGAACCACAACGAATTAACTTGACTTCTGATTTGCCTGTCACTTTAAGACCTTATCGAACTTCCCCTAAGGAAGAAGAAAAAATTGGAAGACAAATTGATCAATTATTAAAAAATGTAATTATTAAAGAAAGTAATAGTTCTTATGCATCCCCAGTAACTTTAGTATTAAAATGTGATGAAGGTGAAAAAACCAGAATGTGTATTGATATCAGTTGAATGCTTTAGCAAAGATCGATGATCATTCCCTGCCACAGGATAGACTTTTTATTAGAAAAATTAAGTAATGCAAATGTTTTTTTCTACAAAAGATCTGAGATCAGGGTTTTGGCACATTCCTATTCACCCTGATAACACCGAAAAATTGACTTTTATTACAAATTTTGGACTGTATGAATGGCTAAGACTCCCTTTTGGCTTCAAAAATGCACCGGCTATCTTTAACAGAGTTATTAAACGCATCCTCACTAAAAATAAAATCCAATTTGCTTGTAGTTATTTTGATGACATAATTGTTTACTCTTCCTTCCAAAGAACAACATCTAAAGCATTGATGAATTATTTGAAATATTTATTCAAGAAGGTATTAAATTGAACCAGAGTAAATGTGTCTTTGCCAAAGATAAAATCAATCTTCCAGGTTATGAAATTAGAAAGGGTAAAGTTACCCCAGATAACCAAAATATTGAAAGTATTAAAAATTTGAAATATCCAAGTAATGAAAAGAACATACAGTTAGAATTTTAAGTGTATTCTTGACTATGGAATTCTATTATTACATATATACATATATTTATATACATTTGATGCAGTCAAAATACAAGATGCACATCTGCATGTTATAGCAATCCTATATACAAAATTTCAACATTCTGAGGCTACTCGTTTTTGAGTTATACGAGATACGTATGTACGCACAGACGCCACAAAAAGTTATTCAGAATCATTTAAATCAGTTTATAATTTTTGGGGAGAAAAGTCTTTATTCTGTCCGAATACAGATGTCACACGAAAAAACGTAAATTGCATGGATAGCGGTCAAAAAAGGGAGATTTCATTGAGATATGATACCGAAAATTTTTTGCTATTATAATATTTCCTTTTTACTTCATACAAGGAAGTAAAAATACAAATTTAAAAATATACCCCTCCCCCCAAAAAGAGGTAATTATGAGGAGAATAGGAAGGTGACATTGTAAAGATATAAACAAAATTTCTGTATTGTACTGAACTCCATAATTTAAAAATTTCGGCATTTTCTATGTATCAGATGATTAGATAAAAGATTCAGAGGAATAAAATAACAGAAGAAAAGATAATCAGTAGGAAAGAAAAAAAAGAGAATTTTTGAGCTATATTTAAAAAAAAAAAAAAAAAAAAAAAATCTGAAAGCTTTCAGATTTTAACATAACACCCAAAGGGGTGTTTCTCTAACATTTTGTGTGTTACCTTATATTAAATATCATGTTCTTTGCACTTAAACCATAAAATTCAATTCAACAGCAATATCACAAAATATTTAAAAGAGCATATCTTAAGAATTTCTGATACAAAGTCTTGCATGCTGGAAATTTAAAAAAAATTTTCTTTTTCCTTTACAGTGTTGCCATTACTCACTTTTAAATCATTGAGTTTGTTAACAAAAAATTCCTTAAATTGTTACAAAATATGAAATCGATAACAAAACCAATTCCAAATTAGGGCTTCCCATATTCGATGGACCATTATGTTATTCAAAATTTCATGGCTCTAGGTACTGTTGTTTTATCACATACACATATTTATGCAGATTCTTTAAATATAACACAGGGCAATAATATTTGGTGGCAACAATTTGAAAAGTGAAACGGACATGTAAAATTTCAATGCAAAATGCCCAAACGAAATTAATTAATTAATTTTGTTAATAATAACGTTAATTTTGTTTATAATTGTTAATAATAATGCCCTTTGGGATAAAAAAAAGTAGCAATAATAAAACAATTTTAAAGAGATTGAAATAAATTTCATTAAAAGACACTGAAAAATATAGAAAATCAATATTGTAAATCATTCTTCCTACAATACATATAACAAAATCTGATTTAAAGAAGGCACTGCCAGCAGCTGAGGGATTAAAACTGCTGAATATTGTAATTTGACCTGTGTTTAAGCCCAGGTGAATGGGTTGGCTGTGTGGTGTTTTTTGGCGATTTTTCACATGTTTAATATGAATACAAGCCAGTTTCTCTTAAAAAGTCCTTCCTTTAGTCACAGAACTGCCATGTGCTTCAAATAATTTCATTTAACCTAATTAATCAAAGACATATGGAATAAGATAACTAAATAGTTGTCAAAAATGAAGAGCAACAGCTATTTTGATTTAAAAACATGGATATAAAACAGTTCTCAATTTGCATGGAAAAGAATAAATTTTAAGTCTCCTTTCAATTAATTTTACATTTAAAAAAAATGTAGGTAAATATTTATTTTGGTATCGTATCCTTTAATGACATTTTTTATATCACATAATTTTAAGATTAAAAATTTGTCTCAACAATTAAATATAAAATAATAAAAAATGCAAAATCTTATCACTAAACTTCCTTAAACATAATGCTTAAAGAATTTCTGTTTATAAGCAAAAATGTAATAAAACAATTTTTAAATGTAATAAAAAAATGCAAAACATGTAATTATCAGTGTTTTGCATCCAAATCAGCATCAAGCATCAGTATGTATATGTCTTCCTAGTGTTTGGTGTGAAAATGTAAAGTAAATTGAGACCATTTGTATCAGAAATTTTGCTAAGAAATTCAGTTAATACAGTTGTAGAGTCTGGTGCAGGGAACATGAAAAATGAGAAATGCCCTCACTGAGACTCAAACACTAAACCCCTCGAATAAGCGTTGGGCATGTTTCCAATTCCACTATGAAGGCATGCATAAAAGGAGGGAAGAAATACTTTCCCTTTTTCCCTTTTAACCCACTGAGCAGCCAGGGTTTTCACTAAGAGAGCACAAATTTCCCAAAACTACTATGAGAACAAATTATTTTTTTGATTTTAATGTAAAAACTCTCCTGGCATTTCATACCTGGATTTGTTTCTTTCGATATTATTGCATTCTTTTTAATGCACGTTGCCAAAAGTTGCGGGAAACTTGCTTGCTTTCCCAGGCAATCAAATTGGAGCTGCGAAAAATTGGGCTCTATGCCGCAGACACTCGTGATAGGCAAATCGCAAAAAGTTATCTCTTCCCACGTCGGCGCAAAAATCGCTTTTTTTTGCGGGGTTGTATGAACTTGATTTTATGACAAATTCCCTGACTTTTCCCTGAATTTTTTGGTCAATTTTCGAATTCCCTGACTTTTCCCGGTTTTCCAGGTAGCGTGGCAACCCTGGTATATATACGTTCTTACAGATATCGCAAAAAAGATTCTAGCTTAGAGGGTTAAAGGGTGACTGGGAATTAAGGGGCCCAATCGCCAAATCTTGGGAGAGATGAATTATCATCCATCACCTTTTAGTTCGGGCGCAACTGTACAGTCATTAGGTTCTTTTGGAGCAGGAGACATGAAAAATGTGCAATATCCTAACCAGGACTCTAACTCTAGACCTCTTAAATACCCATCAAGTATGTTTCCAATTACACCACAACATATGGAAAGAGAGGGAGAAAATACCTTACATATTCCCCCTTTTAAAGGGCGACTGAGAATTGAGGGACCTAAGTGCTAAATCCTTTTACTTCGGACACAACTTGTAGAATCATTCGGTGTTTTGAAGCAGAAGACCTGAAAAATGCACAATCCCCTTGGACCCTGGACCTCTCGAATACACATCAAATATGCTTCCAACTACACCACGGAGGCATGGCTTAAAGAAGGGTGGAAATACCTTATACAGTAATTGTAGCAAAGCATTTAAGAATCATGGTGATATTCGATTTAGGCTAATTTTCCATTTACCGCTGCTTTGTTATTTTTTTTTTTAACATGATGTCTTTGTAGTATTTTTTCTAATATGTTTTGTGATAGTTTAAACTTTATTCTACGTGCATATTAACTTTTAAGTTTGAATCAAGTTAAGCTTTCACCTTTTTTCTAATTTTCTTTATTAGTATTTCATACATATTGTGTTTTTACTTTATGAATTACAAATGGATCTTTACTTTGTGTTTAAACTACTTTACAAAGGAACCACAGTATCACGTTAGCTCATAGGCAATAGCTTGAAGAATTTATTTTTAAATATTATTTCAAATTTTGCAGCTCAATGCGCAAAATTCATGACCTTACAGTTATGTTTAGTTTGCCTTTCTTCCATTATATATATATACATACTTGCCAACCTATGACACTCAAAAATCAAGAGATTTTTTTAAGAAATCAGGAGATTTTTCACAATGTTTAAAAAGACTTTTTAAATGATAAAAATATAGTTTTTTAATAATGAATGAACTTTAAGTAGTAAATAATTCTAAATGCAAGCAACACAAAAACCTACACATAAAAAAATTTTTACTACACGCATCGTTTAAAAAAAAAAAAAAAAAAAAAAAGACACTTTAATCAGTTTTCGTACAAATGTTATAAACAGTGGCAGATTTTGCTTTCTTTAAGAAAGAAACTTCATCATTGTGTTCACAGCAATTGCCACGTAGGCCTGCTTTCGTTAATAAAAGTTTTTCTAATGTGCCATCTCTAATATTAGATCTAAATTTAGTCCTCGTGTTCGCAACAACACTGAGGATCCTCTCACACTCTGCATTACTATAGGGAACTGTCAAGATGGCCCAAACACAATTCTAGACAGTTCACTATATTTTAAAATTCCATCAGCACCTTTCAGTTTTGCAATTAACTCACTGGGTGTCAATCGTAGCTGATTTTAAACTTCATCCAAGTTTCTAATTGTAAAACTGCTTTATGCAGCTGTTGGAACTGTTTCAATTTTTCCTTCCTTTTAGAACTCCTTTCAAGATAATAATAAATATCAACAATGTGTTCATCCACATTTATTGGTAAAGAAGTTGCCCCTTTTTCAGCTGCTAAATTTAAGAGGTGACAGGTGCACTCATAATCTGAATTTCCTTTCTTAAGATGCCTGCAACACCCAGCCTTCCAATACTGGTGCATTATCGGCACCAAGTGCTAAGCAATTATCCAGAGTGCCTGCAGTTTTCTTTTAAAGTTTTAATAATTAACTGCGCTATATTAAAGCCTGTCAAATGTCCTTCTAAAGTGGGAACATAAAGTAAACTGCACTCAATTTCTGAAGACTCTGGATCAAAAAAAGAAACAACAATTGGATACAGTTTTGAATCGGTATTATTGCTTCCATCAGTAGAGAGGCAGAAACGGAGCTGTTTTAATGCAATCAATAACTGAAGATTTATTTTTCAAACCCATTTCTTTAACAATTGCACCTGTTTTGATTCTTGCACCTTGAGTATTTCTTAGCGATTTCACTATCGGGAAACATTTTTCTAAATAAAGCTGCAGCGTGATCCGATGCCTTCAGTGGCAGGTTGTGCTCCAGTAAAAAGGCAGAGAACAGACATTCTGCATTAATAACTTTTTGGTCCTTTGTTTCCGAAGAAAAATTTAATTTTTCGTTTTTTTTTCAAAACAACTCATGTTATCCTTGTGTTTTTGTGTATGCACGTGTTTGAGAACATCCGCCCTTCCAACATACGAAATCGAAAAATCGCAACGACAGGCGGTACACATCGCAAATTTATTACATTTCCTTGAGGAAATAATGGAAGGAAAGTCAACTGTGTACGATTTTGAAACGTACACGAGTATTTCACCTTTCTCGCAGACGTAACAAAAGATGATAATTTCTAAAACTATTTCCCTAAGGCACGTGTACTCGCACAACTCAGGACAAAATGAACGAAATAACTAAAAAGAACGTCCAAATAACAACTTGCTTTGTCCTCATTGGCTAATATATGCCAGCTGACACGCAGTGGAGCTCGAAGCCCATTGGAGAACTGGAGAATGACGTTTCTGGATACGTATAATGCTCTCACTCACAAAGCAGAAGTTATCTGATTTGCAAGGTTTTGTTTTAGATATAATGTAGAGAAAATTCAATTGCTTTCAGACGTTCAAAAGCACTTTTTTTATACATATAACAAAGTATTAAGCCAAGTTGCATAAAAAATCGTGAGAAATTTTAAGAAAATCGGGAGTCTCCCGCCTAAATCGGGAGAGTTCGCAACTCTGTATATATATATATATTATACAAAATTTATGCAAAATTAAATTAATCACAGCTCCAATAATCAAGATTCTATTACACTTGTTTATATATAACATACAGAAATCATGCTTCTTTTTAACATGTCAAGGTAAATTAATACCTTAGCAGATGAACATCATCCACATAAAATTTCACTTTAAAAAACAGATGAATTAAATCTGCAGAAACAAGAGTGGAGCTTGTAGCACAAAGCTGTAACACATCAACAAGTCGCTGTTTTCGCTCAATGAAGATATATTCACCACCTTTAAATAAATTTTCAAATGCATGATTAAAAGCAGCAAGAATAAATCTTAACAGAACTAGATATACATATATTCTGAACTTTTAAATTATTGAAAACTGGAAAAATAATTCTGTTTAACATATACAAGAATGTGTGACACATATATTTTATATCATTAAACAACCTAATTCGTTTTAAAATGAAACCACCCATATAGCACACTTAGTTGTGACGTTACAGTGATGTTCCAATGTTACATTTTCATCTCATTACATTTGTGACCATGATACAACATGGTAATAGATGTGAATTAATACTAGTTTGTGCCCAAAAGTAGAAGTTATTTCATTTTATAAAGAAAATTAAATTTAAAACTGTATTTTAAGGGAATTTAATCCATTGCAGAAAATTTTATAAATATTATGAAAATTACTATAATTCAAAATCTACATTTAAGCCACATATAATATTTTTATTTTAAATGAGTGAATTATTAAGAATTTAAAAATTACATCTAACCTTCTAATTACGTCTAGATTAATTATCTAACCTAATCGCATCAAATTTTGCTTTGATGTATCATTTGCAGAAATGGACAATGAAAAGATATTAGTTTCTGAATAGTGGAAAATTAAGAGAGGAATCTTTCACAAATGAATTTAAAAAATTCCACAGTGGTAACTTGGAAATTCGTATATTCTAAAACATCGATTTGTTACATTAAAATCTTTACAAGCATCCAGCAGAAGACAAACTGGTTTTAAGGGGAAATGTAACTTCATGAAATTCTCTTTTATTTAGACACACGTTTTTTGCCATATTAAAACAAATTTCTATCAGAAATTTTCTTACAGCAGAAAGCTAATAGATCTGGAGAATCATTAGAAGTATTTGAAAACTCCAGGTAATTGTGCTGCCTTTTACTGTAGGACAAACAAATATTACTTTTAATATAACAGAAGGAATTTTATATTTTATTATTTTAATAAAAGTTGTAAATTTATGTACTTGAAAAATTAAATCACTTTTCAGCTGTAATCTCTACATATAATAAAAGAAAGAGTCTGTGTGTGTGTGTGTCTTTTGTTCACGCTGCATGTAAGCTAATAGACCCACGGCTACAAAATTTGGTACATAGGTGCATCTAGACAATCGCCAGTGCACCTCGAAGCGATTTTTTTGAAATTCGAATTAGAAATTTTTTTTATTTTATGTTTTGTGACGAAATCGCATCACTTTGAAACATAATGGGCTATAGGAAAGCAAAATTTTACTCTACACACTCCATTTTCACATTGTCATGAAACGTAGGCACTTAGCTATTTTACGAACTTAAAATAAATTTCGTGTTTCAATAAATCGATTAAATACGAATTTATTTAACAAAGTGAGCTTAACACCTTTTCAACGGGATTTTTTATAAAAAAAAGTTTATTTTTCTTTGATTTTTGGACACGTTAAACTTTTATCCTTGCGACTGCTTTTACAAAAAGAATTTTGGAAAAATGATAATAAAATTTAAATGAAGCTTCCAAGTACACTTCTCACATCTCACATCTTTAAAAATGTGATTTTGGCAACAATTTTCCTTTCTTATTGTTGTTGATAGATTGTTGATGAAACTGCATCATTTTGAATAGTTTCATTCTTTTAGAAATATGGGTTTGGCAACAATTTTTCATCATATTTCTTATGTCACTGTTTTTAAGAGATTGGTGTATTTCATTGTCTTTTTTTTATATATATAATACATTTTTATTGATTTTTTTGATACAGTTGCTCTGCAGAGTAAAATTCTGCACGGAATTTTTTGTTTTTTGAGTTTCTTTCATGTTATTTTTTGCTTATTTCACTATTTGTAAGACATTGAAAAGTTTTGAGTGATTTTTTTTAGGAAACAAACTTCTTAACCTCCTTTATACCATTTGAGTTCTTAAGATTTTGCAAAGGGAAGTTGGTTAATTTATTTATTAGTATAATTAATATTTGTATTAAGAGATATTGCTTATTTTATTGTAATTTTGTTATACATAATAACTTTTTTTTATGAAAATGTTCTGCAAAGTAAAATTCTAAGCAGTTTTTAAATTTAACGTTTGGTGTTCCCTTCAGCCATTTTTCCGGTACATTTAAAAGCCAGACGAAGGCTGGCATCGAAGCTGCTAGTACAATATAAAATATGCTCTTTTTTCCTAGAGAGTTACGATGTGAAATTACTTTTACTATCATAAATACAGCCAGTTTCCATTTGAACTAAACTAAATAGATGAAATTCAGTTTTAATAGCATATATTCTAAAATGAAAGACATAAATGCGTTTTTATATTTACTGCGCTAAAAGAAAATACAAAGCTAATTTTTATGTTGGAGAAATCGTATAATCTACTTCTCTTCAATTTAAAGTATACTAAGAGAATGTTTCTTTAATTACTATCTAATAATAAAATTAATTATAAAATATGTATTAATACCTTTCTGGCACTTTACAGTTTGAAATCGTTTCTGATTTTAATTCATATGCCACCTGTACAGCACCACAGCCACGCGATCAGATTTTAAAACCTGAAACTAATCTTACAATTGCTTCTCCTAAATATTTTTATTACTTTTCAAGTCTTTATTTATGAAGTACTTGTGCCCTTTTACTAGCAAGTGCCTGACTCGCACAAAAATGGTATGGTTCTGTGTTGTACAGATTAATCTAGATTAAATTAACAACTTTTTAAAAGTATGCATTGTAAAATATAATATCTTCATATTATTTTAATCAAAGCAAAAAACTGGAATCATACAAAAGGAGCATTAATTTTGGATAACATAGAAATAATAAATAATCCACATAAGCAGAACTTTGGATATCATATTTCTGATAGCTGGAACTCCTCTCTGTTTTCATAGTTATGCTAAACAAGAAGAATAGCAAGAAAGTGTTTATTTCGTGTTACTTCATCTTTACCTCAAAATATATTTTTCGGATCCCCACCTTTGCTGTGTAAAACCATATTAAAATTCCAAATGCTCAAGTTAATAAAAGGTTCTGATTTCATTCTATATCTGTAGAAATTGTGAATAACAAAGAATTTTCTTTGATTTTCCTTAGCCTTTTACAAAGTTTATGCCTCTCTGGTATTTTTCTTGATGCTAATCATGTCATTCTTAATGCATTGTCAATAATACTTTTTAAATTTTGATTTAATTATTATATATTAACTAATACTGCTATCATTCACTTATTATATACTAAAGTGAATGATATGTATATAGTGATTAAAATCTGGAACTTGTGAAGTTTGTCATATAAACAGCATAGTTTCACTCAGTTTACCGATTTTTACCAATTACTGATTTTTGTAGCTGTTAGAAATAAAAATTTGCATTTCTCCTGTTCATAACTGTGCTGAGCAGAAAAGGCAAGATATATAACTCTGCGGAAGGTTCCTCCCGAAGGAGAGAGATGAAGAGAGAAAGAGTAGAGTGTCTTCCTGATTCTGATGGTGCTGAAGTCTGACCTTTGCGCTATGCCTACCTGATGTTGTTTGCCGACGTGGCCAGCAGCTGTGGTTCTCTCAAGCGTGGTGCAGAAACATGAGTCATAGAGTCCTAACAAGGAACAGTACAGTGGAAATAAGAATACACTCAAGCATTCTGGATTATCATTCTACATCGCCAAATACCTGCCTATATGAAAAGGACTGTTAAGCAGGATCAAATCATATTGTACCAGTCTAATACATTCGTATGTTATCCATCGTATAAGTTCATTAATGTGTCATAGTCTGACACAATACATTCATCTATGTTGTTAAATCTTTAGGATAGAAAGTCACTGATTAAATCTTATGTTAATTTTTTCAACTTAGTGCAATTTATACTTCTGTAATAGAGAACATCGGTTCTACATCCACCGCTACGCATAACTCTCAAGGTACTTCAAAGAACATAAAGGTTTTCAATGGGACAATAATGTTCTCCTTGATACAGAATTCATATTTCAGGAATGGTTAAAAGAAGTTGAAAAAATAAAGTTTTCCAAAATTCCCAGACAGTACTTCAGTGATATGTGTTGGAAGTTTATTAGAAGTTCACATATTTTCTGATGCCAATCCCAAGTGTTATGGTGCTGTAGCATATTTTAGATTTGAGGATGCCAATCCCAAGTGTTATGGTGCTGTAGCATATTTTAGATTTGAGAAGAAAAATAAATGTAAAACAAGTTTCATAATGTCAAAATCCCGTTTAGCTCCATTAAAATAGGTAACACTCCCTAGGCTTGAAATTTTGGGCACATTAATTTCTGCAAGATTAGGTTCGAACTTGCAATGGATATTTTCACAGTTGGATAAGGGAAATATATTTTACTGGACTGATTCCCAAATTTGCATTCACGGATCAAGGGATCCGCCAGCGTATGGAAACAATTTGTTAGAAATCGTGTGCTAGAGATCAAGGAGAAAACAAATTTAAACTATTGGTACTTTTGCAGTGGGAAGACCAACCCTGCTGATAAACTTACAAGGGAGATAAATGCTGAAGCTCTAATTAATGATAACGATTGGTTTTCTGGGCCACCTTGGCTTTCAGAAGTAGATATTCGACGTCACCGAAATGAATACCGAAGCTGACTTTCAAAACGTTAGTGAAGAACAAAAATGTGTTACTTTGAAAACACTTGTGGAATCTACAGAACCGTTACTAAATCTTGAACTATATGGAAATTTAAACAAAGTTCTGGAAATAATGGCTTATATTCTGTGCTTCGTGAACAACTGTAAATCTGCTAGTTAAAAGCAATCTGGTGTGCTTACCGCCTATAGGAATGTTCCATAACTTTCATAATAGGAGTTATGGAAGGCTTCAGAATTTATTATAAGAAATGTTCAACTTAATGAATTTTCAAGAGAAATCAAGGCTTTAAAGACAGGACAACCAATTAAAACTAAAAGCAAACGTAATCCATTTCTAGATGAAAACAAAATTTTAAGAGTAGGGGGTAGATTAATGAATGCAGAAATTACAAGAGAAAGTAAACATCCCATTATATTGCCAAATAATAATCACTTTCTAAGATATTAATACAGAATTATCACGAAAAACATTTACACGGAGGGTTGCATTTAATGTTATCTGCAATAAGACAGAAATACTGGATAATAAGTTCAAGGAATGAAATAAAAAAAATGCACTTAGAAATGCATAAAATGTTGCAGAGTACGAGCAGCAACATCTACTCAATTAATGGAAGAATTACCTGCAAGTAGAGTGATTCCAAGTAGAACCTTTTCAAAGGTTGGCATTGATTACGCCGGCCCATTTGCTGTGAAAATGAAAAAGGGAAGAGGTATAAGACCAATTAAATGTTATGTCCGTATTTTCGTTTGTTTACCTACAAAGGCTATCCATTTAGGGATTGTTAGCGACTTATCAAGTGAAGCATTCTCTAAGCTGCTCTAAAACAATTTGCTTCGAGGAGACGAAAACCTCAATAAAAAGTGATTGTGGAACTAATTTTATAGGTTCAAATAAAATCCTCAAGGAAGCAGTTTCATCTATCCAGTCAAACTCAGAATTTCAAAGGTGGTTATCAAATGAAAACATAAGGTGGATATTCAACACACCAGCTGCTACACATCATGGTGGTATATGGAAGACAGCTGTTAGATCTATGAAGCTGCATCTAAAGAAATGTGTTGGAACTCAAATTTTGACTTTAGAATTAGAAGCATTTCGAACTCTAATTTCACAAATTAAAGCATGCTTAAATTCGAGGCCAATAACACCAGGCTCCAGTGATCCCAATGATTTGACAGCTTTGACTCCTGGACACTGTATTATAGGGACTCCTTTAACAGCTGTTCCAGAACAAGATTTAACCGAAATACAAGTTTCTCCATTGCAGAGATGGTAACTAACACAAAAGATGTTCCAAGGGTTTTGGAAGCAATGGTCTAAAGAGTACCTGTGCCAACTACAGCAACACAGCAAATGGAGACAGCCTAGCAGAAATATTCGTCTAAATGACTTGGTTCTCATTAAAGAAGATAATATATGCCTTCATTACGTTGGAAACTCGGGCGAGTGATAGAAGTGTTTTCTGCAAGAGACAATAATGTCCCAGTGGTAAGACTAAAAACAGTGCATGGGGACATAAAACGGCCTATTCCCAAACTGTGTCTTTTACCAGTTGAAGAACATTAACTTTTAAGTGTTTGGTTCATATTGAATACATTTTATTATTTTTTTTTATATATTTCTTATTGTACTAATAATTTTATTTGTTTGTTTTAGTTTAACCCTTATAATTAACTTTTCAATACAATAAACTAGAAGATTGGTAAGTGTAATATTTTGTATGTTTCATTTACTTGTTTGCATATTGAAGATTGTATTAAGATGAATGTAATTCATCAGGGGGGATGTTTTGGCCCCCTCGGTGATTGCGGTAATTTGTAGCCAGAGGGCGCACTGCACAAAGAGTTAGTTGCGTTATAGAACGTAAAGAGAGCAGTCATGCCAAAAATGTTGGGTGATTACCGCTAATTGATATAATTGCATCGTATCTGCTAGGCGGCATAAAACTAGTGTGATGTATCAATTTACATGCCAGGTAGCAGAATATGTGTATCATGTACATTCGAGGAGGTATAACGCTTGTAAACATGCCAGGTGGCATATGACTTGTAAATAAACGTACAGTAAAATATCTTGGTGTAATAGATCAAGAAACATGCAACTACAAGCAATCATTTGGAAACATACAAACATTAAAAAAAGTATTAATAGTTACCTTTAAGAATTTATGCAGAAAAAAATTTATGTGAAATTTTATGTATTACTATGCTCAAAGAATAATTAAACAGATTCAAAAATTCATAAAATACTACATTTTACTTATGTAACAAATTATAAGGGTAATCAATAAAATAATAATTTATAAATACAGTACAAAGTCCGAGATCTGAAATAGTCACGACTTCTGCAATTCTGGAAATTTCTGGATTTTAGGATCATTGATATAAATCTAGCAAGATTACATGTAGAAGTCATAAAATTAAAAATCCGAAAGGTTGTTTGTAAAATGATGAAGTGGGAAAAGACAAGCTTATATTAATATTCATTCCATTTCAACTTTTTTTTTCAATTTAAGTTGTCTACATAATTTTGTTTTGTGTTCTAAAACTTTCTTTTTAATACAATACTTCTCTGCCTATGTTGTTTAAATTCACGCAAGGAATTTTTTTTTTTTTTTTTTAAATACCTGCAGATCTGACCTCTCATAACTTTGTGATGCTCTACACAGCAGATTTTATTTTAAAATATTTCAGGAATTTTATGAAGGTCTTATTGCCACATTGATTTTAAAAAAGCTATATTATATCTGTATTTCTGCATGCCCAAAATTCCAGTTTTTAAGTTCCGAGGGAGAGTAGAGATGTTTCTTTCCACTAAAACTTTAATTTTCATAAAATGAACAATAATAATAACATATTCAACAGAGTAATAAGCTGGATCACATCAAAAAGTTCAGGAAAAGTGCAATTTGCAGTGTTAGCTGAGCTTAAATTAATCAAAACCCAATTATTTTTCTTACTTCTCTGTTATGCCAATGAAAGGATACCAGTATATGCAACATTCCACTCCAAACAAATATTGGTCTTCGGGATTTACTTATTGCCTAGAACTGCCTTTGAAACCTTTAGAAAACCGAAAATTAATATGCGACTCAGATTCACTAGGCTGAAGAAGTTTAAAGCCAAAACAACACAAAAGATGATTTAACATTATCAGAGATAATGACAATTTGTGGTGGTGGTGGTGGTGGGGATTTCAGCTAATCAGAACAAAAGTTGATTTATAGCACACTTGCTTTTGCTTGAGTAACAAATTATCCATTACTACACTGTGCGAGGAAAAAGGGGAAAAAAACTTTATGAGAGATCTGGATAATAGAATGTTCTAGTTATAGAATGTCTGGATTTTAGACTTAATACAGTACATTTATTTGGAACATACAGTACAGAGAATACTATATTTCTTTGATACTAAGATACGTCCCTTTTCAGTTTGATCAACAGAGAGGGGAAAATAAGATTTTGATACTAAGGAGATGAAATATAGAGTTGAAATACAAACAGCAAATATTTTTTTAATAATTAACCCAGATATATTACAATAGCATACATTAAAGTAAATTTTTTTGAAAAATTAATTACTTCAGAATAATTTTTAACTTCGAAAATTCTATGTGAAACACACAACATTTTGATGTTTATAGTGGGAAAAAAGATGTAGCTTACAATCAAAAATATATGGTACTGAATTATAAATTAAATTAAAAACAACAAATTAATATACTGAATGGTAATTTCATAACATGAAATATTTAAACAGAACACACACATAAATATATATATAATACTGACCCTGAGCATATGCTAATCCAAACAAGTAACGCTCTTGCAATTTTAAATGGTCTGCTACAGCTTGATAAAGTTGTTTTCCATTAACAGATGGTAGACATTCAACATCAATACTTTCCCCATTCAATAATGAAATACTCACAGTAAATGTAGGTTTTAAATCCTAAATTACATAAAATGTTGATGGTAAGAAATAGCAATTTAATGGACTAAGCTCTAAATTATGTAAATTTAATATTAACGAATATGTATAAAAGAACAATTTATGACATTATACTTTAGCATTAACTAAAACATATATAAATACACAAAATATATCATGCATTTGGATTCTTAGTGCAAATCGTCTGCTATTATCATCGTTTTATTATTCCAAAAATACATAACTGCACATATATTAATACAAGTAAAAATAATACTCCCCCCCCCAGTTACAATTCAGCTTAATACACAGATAAAGGTTTAAGTGAGACTAGAAATTCACCATTGGTCATAAAGGTGTAATCCTGCCATATATGTTCTGCCCCAATTTTAATGAACAACATCCCAGGCAACGGTCTGGGAGTCTCTCGTACCTTTTTTTTTTTCTACCACTAAATCACTCAAGAGGACTTTTAGCTTCCTGGATATTTCAAATGCCCCAAATGCCACAGAGTCACTACACATCTACAAACATTCACACCTTCTCCGGGATTTGAACATAAGGCCAAATTAGACAACAACCAAAAGCACTAACCACTAGACAGCAATTTCAGATATCATGCAGGAGTTCCTTAAAACCACTCATTAAATAATGCAATCTAAGGATTACTCCAAGTTTCTTTATCATATATATATTCAGTTCAACTAATTATGATGACCTTCCCACCTTAATTCTATTAAAATAGGACATCATAACATGATTACAATAATAAAAATGGATTTAAGGTATTTTATTAGTTTAATGAAAATTAAGAAAAAAAAATTCTTAAAAGCAATATCCTATAACTGCATATGAAATTTCAGATCCTCCTTTAACACACAGACTGAACTGAATCAGTGATAAGTATTGTCAATGTTATGGAATTCAAACCATTGATTTCAGGAAAGACAAAATGGCAAACTAATTTTTGTTATGATTATTGTCAATCATGATGATGATATTCCTGAATTTATTTACAACTGGTCTATCCAAACAGTGAATTATATATATTAACTTAACATATTTTTTCTCATTATCCTTTAATTTTGATGACCAGTGTATATACACATATACATACACACACACATAAAATATAAATAAAATGCTTTAACACTTTTTTCTACTAATTAAGTAGCGAAAGAATTTAACTGCTGAAGCTCTTACCTTGTTGTAATAAAATGGCATTATTTTAGTATGAGGTTTTAATTTATTTATCACAAATTCTGGTCCTGGATAAGACTTCTTGAGCTAATCACACAAAATAAAAATACAGTTTGTAATTATAAAGGCAATATTTTAAATCATATATACATACAATACATTCTTAAAAGGTTTTATTGTAAGGCAACAGCATCTTATTTCTATTACATAGAAGACAACTGAATCTAAAAATATTTAAAATAATAGTTTAGAAGTCATAAAAACATAGAGAGTAAACAAAAATGGATAAAAATTTCTACACAATTTACTTACAGCATATGATTTTTTGGATTGCAGACATCTCATTATAATAAATATAAAAACTACTATTTACACAAATTGCAAGAATGATTGTCTGTTTCACACATGCATCATAAACAGATATTTTTTTAACTATTTCACATTTTCTGAATCTATTTTCTTTCATTCTGTTAATACTCTAAAATTTTTTTTTCAAAAAATTTCAAGTTTAAAAAAAGCCAAATCTTATTTGCATTACATCATTATATATACATATTTTTAGGGCAGGTAATTGAAAAGCTAAACAGTACAACTTAATTAAACTATTATACTTACATTGCAATCAAGTTTAGTTAAGGGAAAAGGTTCCTGTAAAGCTATTTTATCAATAGCATAATATGGTTTCTCATAATTTTCTTCTTCACTGAAAATTAAAGGGAAAAAAAAATAATTGAGAATAGTGAAAATCCTATGCAGTAACTGGTAATAATGAATGCTAATTCTATACTTCAGTTGTAAAAATGTTAAACATTTCAAACTGATTAATTAATAAAAGAAAATTAATTTCAGGCTACAGATATAAAAAACAGACATTGGATAAACAGGACATTTTGTTTGTAAGTAGGAAAACATGAGTTTCAGCATTACTGACCACAAATATTATACAGGACTCTAATATTTGGTGACAACAATTTAAAAAGTGATTTGCTGTTTATAGTGAATCAATGCAAAATGCCTAAATGAAATTAATAGCCTTCCAGGGAAAACTGCTCCTTTAGGCTTAAAAAAAAAAAAATAGTACTTTTCCGTTTCGCTGGCGCACATCTCTTGAAGCAGATTTTTTATTTTGAAGGCATAAACATTTTAATATGGTTTAAAATTTTGTAAAAAACCAATAAATAAAGATAAATTTGTAAAAAAGACACTAATTCAAGAATTTACTATGCTTTTATCATTTAGCATTCTGATTCGCTGCTTCATATCACGTGACCCCAAGTTATCTCACGTAAAATACACTACAAAAATCTAATTCTCTCAGTAATTAATTATCTACATTAATTTCAAGTTAAATCCTAATTTGGAATACAAGTTTAAATGCAAGAATTATTTCAATTTGTATGAATAGCTTACTCAGAAGTTAAGTAAAACCATAGTGCTTTACTTCGCTAGGGCATTCTCATTAGAATTCATGAATTTAACCTTTGGCTTTTCTATATTTTTGCCTTTGGGTGAGTGGTGTGATTGCATCTTAATTGACTTAATTACTGCAAATGGCCTTAGGCATAAAATTAAACTATCTGGTAAAAATTATACGTTATTGTATGCCAGTATTGAAAGACACAATCAATCTGATAAGAAATGGCTGCAACGTGTTTTGAAAATGAGGCATAAAAGCTTACTAGTGAGGATATTCCATTTGGCATTTGCTGTACCATTATTGGCGACTCTATCGCCTGCGCAGGCAAAATGGAACCGCCCTCCCCGAAAAATAAATAAATTTTAAGAAAAACCCTAGATTTGTACAGGCATGAAAACAAAACATTACTTCTTATATAAAAGCAGAAATTTTTATTAACATTATTTTTTTCACTTATCCACAAACTTATCTGTATTTATTTTACAAATGGCTAAAAATGCATTATGCAGAAAAATAACACAACACCTAAGAATATGATGATCCATCTAGAATATGAAAGTCAAAATATGAAGTTTAAAATAATCACATCATCAAAATTTCTATATGGGCCTTTCAAATGTCAGAAAAATTGATTACAAAAGCCAGTTAATTTCAAATGGAGACTAGTTTGCTACAGCTTCTGCCACATTTTAAATGACAGCCTTTAATTTTTTCTGTGTTTATGCCACATTATGTCATGAGCAATGAGACCCGTAACAGAATGGAAAATTCTTCAGACCCCTTTGCATTCATATTCATTCACCCGCAACAGAAATTACACTCATAGGGCTTCAACAGTTAACTAACATTCACATTAACATTCTTAAAACTCAGTTTAATTTGAACACTTACAATGGCTCCACGTGATTGTGCGAAATCAATATGCTATTCTAACAAATTTCACACAAATTCTTTTGAAACTACCTGATTCTATACTTCATACTACACTAATCATATTGATTTGATGTGTTGCAATATTGACTATAGCGCAATATGAGAAAAACTATACAATACTATACTCTGATGACATTAGTGCTGGAAATGTGAATTTGATTTTGATCTCTTATTTTGTATATTTCAAAAAATATTCTAGCCCTGAGTTAATAGATTAAATGTTTACTGTTTAATTACTTATACATTGAAAAGAATATAACTTACAGTTGATCTTCAGAACTTTCTGTACTACTACATGGCGCTTCAGATTTTGACTTTGAATATGCAGCAGATTGTTTACTAGGACGTTGAAGCAAGAGTACTAATTCAGCAATAGTCTTAGGCTTTAAACCTACCAAAAAAGCACATAGTTAATTTCAAAGATTAAAATCTTTACTTTCACTCTATGGACTACTTTTATTTTTGACTAAAGCAAAACAAGAAAAGAAGTTCCAGTGAAAGTCTGATCCATTAACCCACAAATCCAACTTATGATTATTTAATTTAGAAGTCAAATTCATTTGCTCTTTGGTAGCTGAGTATGATAGTTCGATAAAACCATCGAAACTAGTCCTGTGAAAATTTGCAAATACAACACTGATTTTTGTCGTTCAACTTCTAAATTAATAATTGTTTAGCGTGTTATTTTTACCAAAAATATATGATTATTTATAAGTAAAATTAGAAAACAATATTTTAATGGAAGAGTATTTTAAATATCTTTTATCATATTTATTTTTTTCCCTCATAAAATGCTTACATCAAATAAATGTTTAAAATTTAATATTTACATGCCACAAAATAGCAACTAAAAAATTCAATATACAAGGTGCAGCAAAATGATAGGTACTATTTGGAATGTCAATAAAAACCAAACCACATAAAGCAAAAAATTTTTTCATTTCTTTTTGAAATCTACATTTTATGACATTTAGGAACGTTATTTTTTAAAAAGATCTTGCATGATATCTTTCAAAAGACGGCCATTATTGTCGATGCACTCTTGTGGGTCCTCACGAAAGCGTGTCATTACCCAATGAATCATTTCTTGGGGACAGCTGCTTGTCTTGCGGCTGCCTTTATTTCTTACAAAGCCCACGGACGATGTGTAAAAACTCTCGATTTGAGGTAACCACAAAGAAAAAAGTTGCAAGGCAACACATCAGGCGAACGCAGTGGCCAGCCAAGATCACCCTGTAAAGACACCATTTTGTTTGGGAACATTTCTTGAAGAAGATTAAGTGAACGACATGTGGTGTACGATGTAGCACCATCCTGCTGGAACCAAAGATGTTCTCGGTGATTATCGTTGAACTTGTTAACTTTGGATGCAGGAAATTGTTAAGCATATCAAAATATCGATCTTCGTTGACTGTTACCGTTATTCCATCTTCTTCGGAAAAGTAACCCCACACGCCGAATTCAGATATTGCACACCAGATGGTAACCTTTGGACTATGAAGTGGTCGCTCGTGAAGTTCCTGTGGATTATTTGCCGACCAATAACGGAAATTTTGCTTATTTACGGTACCCGATAGGTGAAAGTGAGCTTCATCGCTAGACATGAATACAGCGCCTCGGGGAATGTTTTGAAGAATATTCTGGCATGAATTTGTACGGGTTTCAAAATCTCTTTCACTTAATTCCTGTACTACCATCATTTTGTACAGATGCATTTGGAATGAGTTGTGTAAAATTCTACGAACACTTCTATCGGAAATTCCCAAAGCAGCTGCATGCTTACGAGCTGAACGCTTTGGAGACTGTTGTATGGAAAAACTTACTGCATTCACATTTTCCGGTGTTCTTACTGTCTTTGGTCAGCCAGTAGATTTTCATTTAAGTGCAGAACCTGTTTTCCTGAAGTGTAAAACCCACCGATGAATTGTTCTTCCATCCGGAACCGCGCCATGCCGACCAACATCAAACTGATTACGGAAGGCACGCTGCGTCGCTATTACAGATTCCCCATTTCTAATAAACTCCTCGACAACGAAAGCACAATGCACTCCACTCCAAGCCACGTCGATAACTGACAATTGCATACTTTTGTCTACCTAACACGACCGCGTGCACAGTGTTGCCGGTTTTACAAACCGAGCAACCACTATATGAAATCCTGCCCACATTTTTGCCACACCCTGTATTACTAACACTACATATAAAAATATTTTGCTTTTTAAATAAGAAAAATATAAAACTTGAAACTTTAAAAATTAAACCTGAGTTATCAATGAAAACTGTCATTCTTAACTTTCTTATATTTATGCTTCTAAAAAAAACCTATCAAAAACTATTTACAACAAGAAACTTTAAAGAAATAATCAAGGGAGGAAAACTCCACCCAAAAATATTTTCTCATTCGCATGTTTCACTTTAAACTGCCTCTTTTACCTTCCCTCCTAGCACATAAAAAAGTAATTATGGATTGAACTAATACAAAGTAGGTACTTATGCCTCAATTCCATAGGTGCACTATGCAATAAATGTATTCAAATGTAATAATGTATTCATTAAAAACGTACATATATGCAGATGTAATATAAGCAAGTTTTGAATGTACTCCTCACAAATATTCAATATGTGCTTTTTTTGTTATAGGGCATACATCAATTCTGAAATATAATTCTTGCCACACTTTGTGCAGCATGTCTGTATCGATGCTGGTGATAGCAGCTGTGATATGGGCTTTCAAAGCAGTCATAGTTTTTGGACTGGGACACATACACACACAATATTTTATGAACCCTCACAGGGAAAAATCACATGGGCTGAGATCTGGAAATTGCAGTGGCCAAGGCAAGAGTGCATTGTCTGTGGAAGATATGCAACCAAGCCAACATTGTGGTAATGTGTTACTGAGCTGGCTCCACACTTCAATCATAAAATGTGTGTGGTACATCATCCTGCTTCAGAATAAAGCAAAGCATATCCTCTTATAGCTGTGGCAGAAGCCATAATTTCAACATATCACGGTACACTCCTCTTGTCAGGTTTCAGAAAAAAAAGAACGGACCATAGATAGTTTCATGGGGTATTTATTGCACAAAACACATTAACCTCACGGAAATCATGTTGGTATTGCATTGGTACATGTGGATGTTCAGTACCCCCAATTCTCACATTATGCTTATTTACTAGCCTAGAAATGTGAAAAAATGATTCATCATTCAATACTAACTTTTTCGAAAATTCGTCATTATCCATGCGTGTCAGAAGAGTCTCATAGAAAGATAATCGACATGGCAGATCTTGAGGTTTTTAGATGTCACACCAACCACAAACGATACGGTTTCATTTGTAAATACCTCCTAAGAACTTTTCACATAATTTTCTGGGCTACTCTCAGGTCTCTTCCCTGTCTTTCATATGCTCAACTACATTTTCTCCTAATGAAAGACAACCTGTTGATTTTCTTTCACAAATCAAGGCCGTTTCTTGAAATTTTGCATACCAACGACAAATTGTCTTATGATCCGGCACTGTCTGTCCACATTTTATTTGGAACTGGCACTGAACAGCGACAATAGACTTTCTAACATGAAACTCAAGCACACAAAATGATTTTTGCTGTTGCATCACCATTTTAAGGGGGCATTTTTTTTAGGGGTGGTCGTTTTGTTTTTGCTGAAACGCTGATGACAAATGGACTTCCAGTGCCATTTATTGGCAATTTTTCAAAACTTGCTAATATTAGCTCTGCAGGTATGTACATTTTTATTGAATACATTTTGTGTAGTACACCTAAGAAATTGGGGCATTTATTTCGACTTACCCTGCATTTCTTTTCACCATGATTTATAAAAATTCCATCTAATTTCATAGAAGCCATGTATTACATTAAAAAGCACAAAGAAAATAGTAGAAAGGCTGATATTTTATAAAGAACAAAATAAAGCAAAATTCAAAAAAATATTTGATTAATTTTTTTACCTCTCTTAAAAAAGGGAGGGGGAGAAAAAAATGGAAAAGGAGGATTTTCATAAAATTTTTCATATTTTGGGGATATTTTAAAATGTGGAACATCAAATGAAAATACAAAGCAAATCCTGCTAACATGCCTTTAGTTCAATAATGAATCAAAACAACTTAATAATGTACATTTTAATATTTTTTTTAATTACCAGTGATTGCATAAATCACTGGTAATTAAAAACAAAAGCATGAAAAAATCCCTTGCAATTAAAGCCAAATAATAATAATAATAATAATCATATCAGCAAATACACAACATGAGCTATAGCACTATTCCCACTTAATGCTAACACAATTAAAAAGAACAATTGTTAGTATCAACTGTTGTGCTCATTCGTTCTTAACAATTTTTAAATGTTTAATAATTCAAGACAAACACATTCAAAAGAAAAACATTTAGCTGAGTATTAGAACCAACTTTAAGAATTAGAATTTAAGAAATCCAAATTTTATTTGTAACTAAATTCAAATTCCAGTATTGAAATTAAACCATTAGTACATTCTCCTTATTAAGAATATGCCAATCTTAAAACTAAATATTTTACTTAAATATTCTTATTGACTGTCAATAAGAATAGCTATAGTAATACAATTTTTCTGTGTGTTTTCAGAAGTCCTGAAGTATCTAAAAATTTATCAAAAAAAATTATTATTTTTAATTACAACTATTTATGCATACCTAATATTGAATACATAAAAATCAATAAGCAAACTGAACTAACCTGTCATTAAAAGAGGATTTTTATCTACATCTACTGGAGTTGAAGGCTCAATGTTGATACTTAATCTCAACAGTTCCAACATCTTCCGTCTTTCTGTCAATTCTTCATAGACTCTAAATATGGATTGTTGAGCTTTATGATTCTTCCATGCTTCAAAAACTTCATTTTTTTTAATAAATAACATCTTGGACTTTCGCACTTCTTTTAATACAGCAGAATATGCTTTCTGCCATCTTTCTTTTGGAGTTACAGAATTCTTTGAGAGTGAAGACTTAGTAGCTTTAGAGAGTTCAGGATAATAACCTAATCTGTATCCATATGCATAATACTTAGGATTGTAATTAACATCAGAAAAATCTTCATTTCCACCTGTTAATTAAATTCTCTGTTAATATATATATATATATATACATCTATTCCAAACATGACTTGTGTTAAGCAAGTTCATTTCCACCTGTTAATTAAATTCTCTGTTAATATATATATATATATATATACATCTATTCCAAACATTACTTGTGTTAAGCAAGTTTTGTTTTGCAAAAATATTACAGTTTTTGTAGCAAAACAGAAGACAAAAGTATTGATTCTGCATCTCACTTTTCATGCTTTTAATGATAAAATGTAAAATACAGTGGTGCCTAATCAAAAAAAAAAAAAAAAAAAAAAAGGGGGGGGTACGTTTCAATTAAAGGCCATATCACATAATGCTATTTTTGTTTTAGTGCATTTCTTTTGGTGTCAAATATCAAGAGTTTGGTTTGGTTTGGCTTCTTTCATGGCAATAATTGCCTTAATCATCACTCATATAACCGCAGGTTTCATTTAATCATTCCCCCTTTTTTAAATCTGCAATGGATTTCACAGCTTTGGACTTGCAAAGAGTTATAAACAAGTAGCCACCCAGGTTCTTTGAAAAAGACATATTCTTCACAAAAGGGGATTGTGTTCAAACAACCACGCCATGAAATTTAAATGTCATTAGAAGATGAGATGACTATGCAGCATTCGTTTATGACAGGAAGAAAAAGATGTGAACACAAACATGATTTGCCAAATCATGCATTCCATTTATTACTATGATATTACGAATTAATGCCTATTGAGTTTTGCTAACCAAAACTTGCTTCAAATTTATCATAATATCATGTTTGATTGAAATAATTACATGAGAGAGGTTTGTGCCAACTCCTATCTTTCCCTAACATGAAAATCAATGGATACAATAAAACTGTGGAAACTGATGCAAGCTTATTCACAAAAAAGAAAAGTATAATGTAAGGGATATTTTCTCCCCCTACACACACAAAACAGGCTTTTTGTCACTAACTATTTACAGATCAAGGGGAGTGGGATATTTTAAGCTTTATGAATTTTACTGAGAGTAAGTGGGTTCATGGTATAAAAAACCAATAAGAGTATACTCAATTAAAATAAACACTGAATAAATGAATGTGCCATGCTCCATTTAATGCAGTTTCAAGATTTCTACTAATTTTGAATACATCCCTTTTCTCACACATTCGAGCCACAGAACTGTACCTATTCTGTGGTTTGAATGTACCACTCTCCTTTTACTGCAGTTTCAAAACTTTTACAAATTTTGCCCGCCTCATTTTTCTCACACTTTCGAACCACAGAATTTGGCTACCTGCCTTTTCTCTTACACTTCAGCTCCAGAAATGTTAGCCATTTTTACAGTGCCTTACAGTCTGCACACAGTGGCGAGTTTTTTATGGCGCATTTTCATTTTTATCATTTTATCCTTTATAGCAATAAAAGCATGATTAGTTTTTAAAGTATCCCAGTTCCAAAAATAATAATAATTTTAAAATACAGTACAAAGTCCAAAATCCGGACTTGTCGGGACTTCGGCAATACCGGACTTGGGATTTTTCCGGTTATTAGATCATGAGTTTAAATCTAGTAAGATGGCATGTAGAAATTATAAAATTAAAAATATGAAATCGTGATTTATGAAATAATGAAGTATTTATAATCTAAAGAGTATCAAAATTTACCAAAAAAAAAAAAAAAAAAAAAAAAAAAAAAAACCCTTAATATTTATTTGTTTACTTTATTAAACATTTCTTTCAATCTAAGTTATTTAAGTTGTTGCATTTTTTGTGCTAATACGTTCTCTTTAATTCTGTAGACAGACATAATCTGCTGTTTAATCACATTGTTGAAGTTTTGTAACTGCTGTTTCAAGAATTCCGATTAACTTGTCAATCGAAATTTTCTAGCTTTTAGTAACTTCTTTGTCATTTTCTTCACTATCGGTAGCGGTATTTTCTGATCTACAGCCATACTACATATTTTGCCATTCATTAATTGATTGATGAGATGCATTGTCATTACAATAAAAAACTTCTTTTATATCATCTTCATTTATTACCACATCTCCACATTTCCGTTAATTGGAAAATTTCACCTTTGTTTTGCGATATCCAAAAAAAACCTTTAAAATTAGCGGCTATCATCATCAAATTTAGCTGTTCTTCACTCTACATATCTGGCTATGCATCATGAGCTTGGCGACTAACGACAAGTTGTTCCGTTAAATTTTATCTTGCTTCTATCGCACGCTGAGACAATTAAGCCTAAATTGTGCTATTTATTATATTTATGTCTATTTCTTGCACATGCTTAAGGCTTATCAGAGTTCTGAATAAATAAATTCCCACCATATACTTAAGCCTTATTGAGGGCAGATGCTAGATATCTTACCATCTGATGCAGTCTCTATGGGTTCTAAATTCTGTGACTCAATTCTGGTTCTGGGTTTATGCAAATAACAAATCAGTTATTCCTAATTCAAATAGCCCTAAATGTAATCTTTGGGTCTATGAGTATCAACAACAAAATCTATTTTTAGCACACAGAAAGAAATTTTTGGTACATTTTTCGTCAACATTTTTTAGCGCATTTTAACTTAAATCTGCCAAGCGTAATGTCAACATAAAAGGTTACCATACTCCTTTATTATTCAATTACCAACATAAAAAAATTGTTTAGGTATCGCTATGTGAGTCATTACTATAGTTGTCATGTTCTGATAAACATGCGGTGATGAAAGAAAAGTATAATAAATAATGATTCGCCAGCTTGGACCAGATCAACAATGTTTCTATGTGGAATGTTTTGGTTTGAGATGTGTGCCAAAGCAGATACGCAGCAACGGAGCCAAATTACTAATCAATTAAAACTTATGCTAAAATGATTGTTTCTTCAATAACAAGGTATTTTACTTATTGTCGAAGTGAAATTAAGAATTGGGACTCTTCAGATGCTTTATTATGCGTAGAGGGCGAAATTAAATGTGCATGCGTAAAGCCTACGAGAAAAACAATTGTTAGTGGGTTTGAGATCCGGATTTTAGAATAATGGACATCTGGATTTCGAACTTTGTACTGTAGTTTTCTTATTTTAGAAATTGCTCATTTTTATGAAGTCAAGATTTTAGCCTTTTATGTTATTGAACTTCACTCTTTTTTATTGGTGTTTGTAAGACACATTCATACATTTTCATAAATGATAAAAAACAATAACATTTTTTAATGTTTTTGTGTACAGTTTTCCTAGGTTGTTATCTTTATATAAATTATGTATTTGCATTTTTTACATGTCAATTTATTTTGATTTTGAATTTACTTTTATTCTTTGTTCACATTTGAGAATAATTAAGCAGAATAATGGTAGAATTGAGTAGAATAATGGTAGGAAGAAATAAACATGTGTTCCTCACTCATTAATCATCCTGGTTAAATATTTTAAACACTAACCCCTTGAAAAGTTCTATTTGAAGCATTAAGCATAGGGTAGTTTACAGTTTTCATTTGCTATTGCAGTTAATAAATTTTTCTAACTTTAATTGGCCTTTAATTCTTTTTTTCTCCGGCTTTAATTTTTTCAATACCAATTAGCACTTTTGTACGGCAGACAATTTTACTGCCCTTACGATTCTTTCCCCAGATAGGATGATCTTTTAAAAATTTTTACAAAAAATTTATTTAACATATTTCTTCTTATATTAATTACTCAGTATATACAGTATTAAAGAAATTTTTAAATAAAAAATATCTTAAAATTATTTCTGTGCAAAAGGGTGCTAAAAATGAATTAATTAAAGACAAAAAGAGTACACAATTTTCAACCAACCCATTCAAAGACTTGAAATAAATTTAAAGTTAGCGCTAATTTGAAACTTATAATTAAAAAATGTGTTTTTGCAAATGAAAAATGTAAAACTCAGTAGTTTAAAATTATAAGAAGTGGTGAAAACAATAGAAATACATAAAAACGAAAAAGGAATTTAATTGAAATCTGATTCAACTTACATAAAGTTACAGCTATAGAGGCTACATAAATTCATTTTCTAAAGAGTAAAAGTTTCTTAAGAACTTTACAATATATGATAATAATAAATTTGCTCTCAATTACAGATGTATAAAGATGATATATTTGCCTTCAACGATAATAATCTTATTGAAAAAAGTAATATTGACCCAACTGTTTGAAGCTTAAAAAAACAAATAAAAATCAAGCATTTGTAACCTAAAAGAAGTAAGGCTTTTTGGTAAAAGAAGGGAATTCAATTTTTTAACAATTAAACTTCTGAATTGGAATACTAACCTCTCTAAAAAAGTTGTTGCAAATACAATTATTAATCAAACAGTCAGAATTAAAAAAGTTTGAATAGAAATTGAAGAACAAAAGCAAGAGATAATCTTCTTACTAAAGTTTTAAAAGAAAATGAAATTCCAATTAATCTCATTAACTGTCAACTAAAAAAAGCTGGAGTGGTATACACCCTATGAATTCTTTTAAAGTAATGAACTTCTACTCTGAAGTCTCAAATAAACAAAAGGATTAAAAAGAATGTATTTAAAGGGAGTTAAAATGTAATTATGTAATTACTGTACAGCATTTATTTTTTGACTTGGATTTAATTAACTAAGGGCTTACTATATTCCAAATCATCACGATAAACCCATGGTGTGAAAAATTTAAATTTTAATAACATTTATCCTTTATGTCTTTTTCTTGCTTGCACTGCTTAAATGCTTTCCAATATTTATTGATAAAAAATCATAACTTTGAATTTACCTTTTGAGAGATTTAAGACTTCCAACTGCCATTCAGTATCACCAATAGCGCCAAAAGATAATCTTAAGCATCTCTGCTTCACCCGTTTTAAAGTTCTTACTGTACTTTGTGTATTTAATTTAAATTTTTACTTTTGCAGTAAAATTTATTTATTTATCTTTTGCATTATTGAATTTGAAAGAAAAAGCGAGTGTATAGAGGAAGCATTCGAAATTCAGATGAACAGCAATAATAAAATAAATTAAGTATTTCATCAGCTG